CCAACACTGGGTTCGTGAGAGAGCCGTTGGTCATGTTTCTCGGACAACCCCACGGCTATCTTTTGCCATTGTGGGTTTTCGAGTGGTGCTAGCCTTGAGATGGTATAGACGAATTCCAACGGTGTACATCCGAATCGTTATTTCGCATAGACGTCTTTGTTTGACTGATTTGAATCTTACCAACTGGGCATGTTTTGAATCTCACCAGCTGGGCATGCTATGAATCTTACCAACTGGGCATGTTTTGAATCTGACCATCTGGGCATGTTTTGAATCTGACCATCTGGGCATGTTTTGAGTCTTACCATCTGGGCATGTTTTGAATCTTACCATCTGGGCATGTTTTGAATCTTACCATATGGGCAGGTTTCTTTAACAACCCCACGTCTATCTTCTGCCATTGTGGGTTTTCGAGTGGTGCGATCCTTGCGATTGTATAGGCGATTTTTCAACGGTGTAAATGATAATCGGTATTCCGCATAGACATCTTTGTTTGAATAGAAAGGGTTGTACTGATGAATTTTCAACACTCGATAACGTGGTGGTTTTCATGGAGACGCCAACTGTTTAGTGAATTTTCAATTAAGTGTTTTTAGTTGTTCACTCTCTTTTTGTTTCAATGGGCCCAAAAATATTCTGTGCATGTTTACTATTCACAGTCGCTAGTGCCTTTAATATCAACGGTGTTTTCAACTTGGAAAGGGATAATTTTAAGATCAAAGTTCAGCTGATTGGTTCGAGTCGGTTGGTCCGGTTATACGTAAATTGCAAAGGCAAGCAATATACAGACGATTTCACGTTGAAGATGTATAATACGTCGACGGTGAACGATAGGGCGAAATATTTCCCATCGAGGTTGACGGTTTTCCCCGGGGAAAGATTGTGGGTTGAAGAATACGTCGAGGTGGCTAAGAGCAACGGTAAATCGTTGTTTTGGTCGAAATACACCGAGTTGTGGACTTTTGTGAGAGAATACTGTGGAGTGGTAATGGCATCAGATGAATTGATGGCCTTTGTGCTGCTGGAAGCGACGCCAAACTGTCGCGACTGTTCGCATAATAGAAAGGTTATTGCTGTTGAATTCGCAGGAAGAGTTTTTTGTATGGCAACTCGTGAAGTGGGAAGGGCGGTGGATTTTCCTAAGATTTGTTTATAGGTGATGTATGTGTACATGTAAATGTGCTATGTTGTGCTCATGAAATTTGTGGTGTTGACAGTATTGGAAGATCGCGAGATGACTTGGTGTCGTTAGGCGTTGACGATGGGCATATTCTGAATCTTATCAACTGGGCATGTTTTGAATCTTATCAACTGGGCATGTTTTGAATCTTATCAACTGGGAAATGTTTTGAATCTTATCAACTGGGCATGTTTTGAATCTTACCAACTGGGCATGTTTTGAATCTTACCAACTGGGCATGTTTTGAATCTCACCAACTGTG